GGGAGAAGCTGAGTGCAATGACGGCAATGGTGGTGAAGACAACAACTCCCATGATCCCACGCTGCTTCATTTGAGACCCTCTAGCTGCAGAAACTCCGTATTGTATGTTTAAGGGGATTCAATATAAGACACTGAAATATACAGGTTCCAGCTACAGTGACTTTGACTTCTGCGTCATCGTAGCTAAAGAGTCCGGGTTTGGCAACTCCTGCTCTTACTGCTGGCTACATATCTCTCCATTCACCTGTGTGCTTTGCCTCAGCAGCACAGTAGGCTGGACAGACTCGACCATCACAGCCAACACCTGAAGCAAAGCGAGTCTCTGGCTTCGCCTCGCAGCTCTTCCCAGCAGCCGCTGCTCCACCTCCAGCAGTGTCATGGCTGACACGTCCAGCTCCTCTTTATCCTCCTCCTCTTCATCTTCTGCAGATGCCCAGCTGGTCAGCTCCTGCAGAAGAAGCAAGGAAATAATTAAGCAGTGACCAGAGGTTACCTTCTCCACATTCTCAGCAATACGAAACACAGGAGTATTTATTGCACTGGACTGATCATGTTTTACAGGTGTAACTATGTGTACCTGCAGCAGTTCCAGGAAAAAGTCTCCAGGAAGGTCATAGTCTTTGAGTTCAGCCAGCAGCTGCATCAGACACTCTAGCCTCCACTGCTCCCCTGACACCTTCTCATACAGAGCATCATCCTCATCACTGGGAGGCGGAACAGAGAAGTGAGGGAAGACACTGAGAAATGTAGAGCGTTATAGTCATCACCTGTGGAGTGAGATGAGGGGGGCTTTGTGCTGTGAGCATTATGCCCTAACACAATAAGTCAGTGCTGTTTCACAAAGATTACAAGTGAGAACATGTCAATCACCTGCAGCTCTCTTGGAGGGAGAGTCTGGCTCCTCCATCACTGCCCGGGGTGAAGTGGAGGTCTGCTGCCACCGTGGTCTCCTGTCCCTGCAGACCTGAGAGCTGCCTCAGCGCTGACAGGGCTACAGACGCCTCGATGTGACTCAGGTACCACAGCAAAATCTCCTGACAGGGGGCACTGTGCAGCACAAAGTACATGCACACACACACACACACACACACACACACGAAGAGGGGGTTAGAAAAGTTTCACAGTGCTCTCAACTGTTCATACAGCTACAGAGTGAGCAAAGAGCATCAATGACTGATGTGATGCACTGCGCCATAGCTAAATTAGTCAATTTCAAGCTGAACCAAAGCAAACTGTATGAAAATATATTGAGCATGTCCTGAAGTCCTGAACAAAACTTTCAATTGAACATGTCCTTTTGATGAATCAATCCAATCAATTTGAAAACATGAACAAACCAGAAAAAGGAACAAACACACACACACATATATCCACTGATACACCTTCCTTGAGAGACCACTGGAATGCGTTTATTGTGAAGCAGCTGCTGGAATGTGATGTACATGGAAGTCTTTAGCCACCGAATACTGACTTATTGCTTTATGAAAGTTTATCTTAATCTAGATTTGTACTTTTTTTGTTGCTTTTTTGCTATTGAATCAGTATGAAATATTGCCAGGGAGGAATGGATTTCATTACAGCTCTGACAAAGCATGAAAAAGTTCAAGCTTTTTTTGTATTCCTTTGGGAGTCTAGCATCGAAGCACGAAGGAGGGGAATCTAGATCATGAATGAAAGAACCAAATACTGGATCAGTTTTTGAATGAAAGAATCGAAATCAAACACTTGCTCCCTTAATGACACAGTGGCACTAATTCCATATGCGGATAATTATTCAAACATTCGAAAGGTGACAAAAATGAGTCCAACTGCAACCTACTGAAATCCAACTTGCAAAATTCTTAGACATTTAAAACAATAACAGATTAACACATAACCTTAACCCAATGAGTTGTGATTAATTATATAGGTGATTTGCTTTCATAAATGACAATATTGGTGACAGAAAAACTTTCACATTGTGTCATGCAAATGATTAGCATTTAATGAAGTGGTTAGAGCACTTGGAACTTCAGAGGATTCTCTCAGGTTTGTTCGAACTTCAAAATAAAGGCTTCTAATTTTGCTGCTATCTAAAATGCCATTAAATTGGACTTTTGTTGGCCCCTGATGGTATTATATATTACACTTATGATCACAGTAATGCTGTATGTCTCTCTAATGTCTCTACGTTGATACACTCATGTCCCCAGACCAGCCCCCATCAGCGACCTCAGCACCATGAACCACCCAGGGCCTTGAAGTGGTCCCGGCTTGGAAGATAAATGATGTGACTGAGGAACCGCTGTCTACCAAGAGCTTATTAGAGCTGATGGAATCTAATCCTGAGATCATTGCAACCCTGTGTGTGTGCGCATAATGTACAAATGTATGGAAATATATATATATATGTGAACTAAGCCACCGAGTGTGGCATAAGCAGGCGTGGTCTGCTCTGTCTTAGCTGTTTGGTGTCAGCAGAGGGGTGTTGTGTGGTGTTGGTGCAGAGGACAGGAGCCTAGAGGGTCCATAAGAGATAGCTGTGAGGAGTAAAAGCTGCAACCCGCTTATTGTTCCTGACAGGAACCACACTGGGGCTGTGACTATGATCACAGCTGCTGAGAACATTACCACATCACAATATGGTTTTGTTATTTTGACCACTGCAAGCAGCTACTGAAGCCTGGCAGCCTTTTTCTGGTGGTGGTCAGAGGCCTTGACCGGATGTCAGCGGTAACTGTGGATCAACTATGACTGTGGGCGGTCATATAAGATTTGTGGTTATATGAATATGCGAACAGATTTGCTGAGAGGAGAGATGGTTCAGTGTGTTGTTGGTAAAGGGATGGAGACCTTGTGGAGAAACAGAGCACAATTCTCCTCTGACTTAAAATCACATAGAAGTTTTAACTTAATTAGAACATTTTCTATCTATGGAAGAAAGATGTGGCTAAGGATCAGAAATTCAGGCCATAAATATTAAAGGTTTGATCACAGTAGCATTCACAGTATCAAATAATATGTGCAGACCATTTGTCCCGACAAAGAGACAGAACTGTCTTTACGTCCATGTATGGTGTTAATAGACCCAATAATCCTCAATTGAGGTATGTGAATACAGTTCTTGAGGATCAGTGTCTTCAGATGATGCAATAAGGATCAGCATTGAAAAAAGGATTCTACACTTTAAGATACAAAAAAATAAACATTTTCTCTATGTAAAGGAGAAATACTAGAGAGGAGAAAGTGTGAAGAACGTGTTATGGGAAATTCATTTCTTAATCATTTGTAACACATCTGATAATGTATGTGTATGTATATGTATATGTATTTGTTTTTGTGTGTGGTGTGGTGTGTTGTGTGTGTGTGGTGTGTGTGTGTGTGTGTGTGTGTGTTGGTCGTGTGTATGTTCTGAGATCACAGAGTGTGTGGCAGTTGAGGCTCCAGTCAGTGTCCAAAGCTGGGTGGAGATTTGGAGGTGCTGCTGCTGTAGCAGACAGGCCGGTGAAGATTAAAGAACTTAAGATAGACAGACATCCAGAGAAGTTCAAAGACTGCAATATAGCAGGTTTTTATGAGAGGATGTCTGAAGATTGCAGAGCACAGCAGCACTTAAGAGACACATAATCGCTAAAAAAAAAAAAAAAAATCCTTATCTCAACATGACATTCAGTCTCTTTTACAGTGTTGGAAAAGTAAGCAAGTTAGTTAGGGTAACCACAGTTCATTCCACAACAAATCAATGTATTTCAAGACTTTTTATAGCTTGTGTCATATTATTTATTCTTAGAGTTAGAACATGGAATAATCTTATCCCATCATTAGACATTTTCTGGTCTGTTCAGAAAATTTTGAGTTTGAAACTTACATATCACAAGCTATCTATTCTCGGCAAGTTGTATGTAGAACCGTGGGATCAAATCCACTCCGTGTTGTTGTTTTTATCTCTTTGTTTTCAGCAGCGGATGTTTAAACACTTCAGCCAACATAGAGTCATGTACCAAGTTACTCACACAACACTAGAAGAATAATCAGCACAAAACAGAGACATTATAGGCATGAGACACAACCTAAATGCTGCTTTTCATTACCTATATTTAGTTTCAAAGGATAACTGTCCACTCTTATCTCCCCCACTACATGGTGACTGCATGCGAGCCCTGAGTGCTTTCTGAGAACAGCTCTAGAGCCCAGAGAGCCTACTCTTGAGTGACTATCTTCATGTTCTTGACCCAGCGGTACAGCAAGTAGATATCCTTAACTATGGTAACGGATGCAGAGCAGCAAAATGTATCTCTTAAAACTCCTGTTGAAACTCTCCACAAAGTACAATGAAAAGGTTTTCAAGTGGTTGTTTTGGTTTCTGAGATGCTAAGATTTGGATGGTGGTCCATTTTTTGTAATTGCAGAAAAGGGTATATTTGCAGCCTGAGAAAAGACATTGACAGAAAATAATTAACCACATGTGCAAAGAACTGAAATCAAATAAATACCCACAGTTTCACCATTGGCAATTATGTGCATCTTGCAAAGTTTATGCTCATCCATGTATGTATAAAGTCACACTGAAAGTGGAAGTTTTATTTCAAACTTTCTTACTATTCTTTCTTGGATTTATTCACTAATTTTACAACTATTCATGCAGCATATTCTCTTCTCTTGTCCCTGATGTTTCTCCCTGTATGATATGAGCCTTATTTTACTCTATACTTTGAAAACTGGGTGCTAGTTGTCACTATGCACGCACGATTTAAGAGTTTTAGGTTTGAAAATAAAAATAAAATAATTCTTAATATTCACATGAAAATGACTGTAGTTTGACATGGAGTAATTAATGGGGGCAAACCTGCAACCTGCCCTAACAGCAGTTATTGTATAAGGCCATATATTCATGTTTAATTTCTCTTAATTGCTTTGACCTGCACCCACATCATGGATTTATATCCCAAATCCGCTCCCTCTGACCTACAATTAACCTTATGATATCAGGAAGACACAGTCTTTTGTGTTTCTATGTCTTTTAAGTGTGCGTGTGCATGCACATGCATGCATGTATGTTTTTCCACTTCCTCTCCCTCCCCTCTCTTTTCTTTTTAGCTCCTCCATGTTACTTTTCAGCAATTGAAATCAAGGTAATGACTGGGCAAGGAAAAAGAATGTTCTTTCAATAGATAATTAGGGAGATTGGTTTACCAGGGCCACTCAAAGCCTATTCAAATGCATGGCTGAGGCCAGGCCTTGTTGTCTGCTGAGCCCAAAAAGCTCCCAAGAGAGGCATTCGCCTTGGCTTCATTTCTCTGAGCAGGTGCCTGGCAGGTAGTCAATGGAGACGGCCAGTTGAGATATATAAGAAACCCATCCCCCTAGACAAGGGGTCAACATCACAGGTCAGGGGTCATGAACAGAGGTCACAAGGTCAATGTTTAGCACACAGAACTGGCCAGATGACTGGAAATGTATGCTGCTGGACAGCCAGCTATCAGTATGACTGAATGTGTGCAAGAAGTAGAGGTACTACTGTTGTTGATTGACAGCTAATTTTTCTTTCATCTCTACCTAAATATCTGAATTCAGCTAACAGCAAATTAAATTAAATCACACTTCATTGGCTTCACCTGCCTACCCAAATGCATCATCAGCCCAAATCCACTAATTGCTATTAGTGTCTAAGAGTAAAAAAAAAAAAGACTGTTGTGTCTTGTAATTTCACTTTTTATGTTTGAACTGGCACTCAATGTTAAAAACGAGAATTTCTCAAAAAGCTGCAAGGGCTGTTCTCTTTTTAATTAATTGTCTTGTGACCTTGCTTTAGTCTTAATGTATAAGTCATAAAAGTTATGTGATTTATATAGTTTTTTTATTACTTAAACTTTTTTACAATATTTAACATAAACTGAAGTGCATCCAGAATCGATTGATTCTTACCATCCTTGGCATTCCCATGAATTTTTTCATCATAACATCTGCTCTGACGGCTTCATTGGCGCATTATTCTTTTACACTAGATGCGGACTGGTGCCAGTTCACAAATATGCCTAGAATTCCAACCCACGACAAGAACGGTGTAGGATTAGGGGTCAGAGGTGATGTGCACTCTAATTTCTA